CAAGGAAGCAAGGAAGCAAGGAAGCAAGGAAGCAAGGAAGCAAGGAAGCAAGGAAGCAAGTATGAAAAGAATTTGATAACAAATCAAAAATAATTTTTAAATTAAAAAAAAGAGAAGAAAATAAATATTGAAAGAAAAAGGAAAACATGAGAAAATATCACTTGTAAATTCAAACTTTTAAAATCCTCATGACAACAATAAATTTGCATCCAATTGGTAAAATGATAAAATGAATATTTATGAATGTTCATCGCCATTTTATAATATAATGAAAGCTTATTTTCATTTGATTGTTATGCAACTACAAGTTTTTATTTTCAAACAGAGTTCGGCGGCATAAACTAAATCAGTAACAGAACTTACAGCCTTTCATTTTCAATAAGAAGTTTTAGAAAAATACATCAATTATTTTCATTCTCAAAAACAACAGCAAATGATGAATAGTGTATGTCAGCATCCAAGGCCATATTTAAGAATAGTAGTCATCTGTATTCTAAGAAACAAAAAGCCGAATAATATTWTTTTGCGTAATGGCGCGGCTAGTTTTTTCACGTTAAAATTATGACAAAATTGCTTATATTACTGACTAAGTTATTTTTCCTTTTTTTCCTTATCATCAAAGCTAGTAGTTGTTTGCGTATTTATGGAAGTTAACATTATGTCATTAAATAAAAAAAAGAGAATATGTGCTGAATAATATCTCAAACTACTGATGAAATCTCGGCAATTTTTGTCGTTTCTCGGCGGTGGTTCAAAATAATGATGTTGAATCCTAGACATTTTATTTATGAATGAAAGTTTTATTCTAAGATCATCTGTAGTAAAGTTCCTTTTAAAAAAGAAACGCTCACTATCAAACTCATCTGTTATTCCGGACCGTCGACAGACCAACATGTTTACCGAGGCAAAAGAGCGACAGAAACGCGGGGATCAACTATAGGAGGGTTCGGGCCATGACATGCACCGGGTCAAAGAACTTTGCAATTGAGACCCTTTAGAAATGCGATCTTATAAGATATTGAGGTGGCATTTGAGACAATTTACCGAGGCAACTATCTTGCCTGCCTCATAGTGGCTACGGCCCTGCTGTTACACAACTTTTAAACACTGAGTTAGATATTGTAGCTTTTGGTAAAGTTTTAAGAAATATTTCTGTTTTTCTTAAGAAGGTTAAAAGCACATGGTTTTAAAAATAGAAAAAACTTACCTGAATGAATAGAAGAAAACAAGCAAAGTAAAAAGCAAAAAAGGACTCTTGAATCCACCATGGCCGACGTACAAACTGCAGAACTTCTTCGTATCTTGAATTAGAACAAAATCGTCTTGTAATCTTTTAAATTTGAGCAAATATTAGTCTTGTGTAGATAATGTATTTTGACGTTAAGATTGTCTTCGGAATCAATCGAAGTATGTGCTCAACGAAGCATGTTCAGTGAAAAATACAACACGTTTTGAGCGCTGCTTCAACAAAGGATCGAACACGCGACTTTTGTTATCAAGGCATTTAGGAAAAACTGGTATCTTGGTAACGAGAGCCAATCAGATTCATCGATAGCTCTATGCTAAACCCCTAGGGGGTGGATGATCTTTTTACATTGTATAGATTTCTACAAAAAGGATATAGTAATTCAGCTCTAACACTAATTGTATTTAAAAAATCGGTTAAAAAGTTTTCAGGAATATTTTTGTGGATGGAAAGCTAAGAGTCTGAAATTTATTATTTTTTCTTGTTGGGGTCTCAGACGGTTTTCTAGACTCAAAGCTTGGGCATTGGCAGTATTGATACAGTTATTTCAAAAAACGTTTGTAAAGGTTTTGCTGCGCGCATACCAAGCCAGAAGTGCACTTTGAGCAACGGTGAATGCCATCAGCAAAAAGGTCATAACGATATGGAATTTCCCTACATTTGTCATCCCGTTTTCCCGTTT